ATCATGATCAAAGGGGTTGTGATCAGGTTGTGATCAGGTTGTGATCACTGTTGGGATCGTGGGGGGAAGGGGGGGGGGGGTATGGCTGGGGTCTTGGCTAGGATCATAGGCATGCTCGCTCAGTCCTCCCCTGTCCACCGTCACCCACAGAGAGTGATGGGCTCGAGGGATGGTGTTGGTGATGGTGATCGGGGTAGATAGCAAAGGCAGAGGGGGAGGGGGCTGGCTGGTGACGTTTGGTGGAGGCCAGGGACCAATTCGGCACGCGCGGGTGACTGTGGTCTGGAGGGGGGCGAAGGGGAAGGGGAAGGGGGAGAAGTGGAGGGAGTAGGAGCACCTCTCTCGTGGCGTTGCGGCGACGAATACAAGGCAGGCAAAGGCGGAGCAGCAGCAGACTTGACGTGAGGAGAGACGAAGCAAGCAGGTGATGGCGGTGAACCCGACGATGCACACGCAGCGGTTCACGTCGTCGACGTCCAAGACCAAGCACACGTACGTGCGTGTGGTGCCCAAGCCGGTGCTTGTCACACTCTCGTTTGCCGAGCCTGGGGAGGATACGTGGGTGGAGCATTGCACGGGCTCGGCGTCGGCCAAGTACGTGCCGGGGCTCCGCATGTATGGCGTGTGCATGAAGCCGGTGGACGCTGAGCTGGCGCCGGTTCGCCTCGCCGTCTCGCCACATGTGGTGTTCTCCGTCGCCGAGGGCAGCCACGACTTGCAGTGGCTGGACGTGGCGTCGTCGCGCAAGATGAAGCTCTCCTTCCCCAACAAGGCTGCGCTCGAGCACGTGCACTCGATTGTGAAGCGGGCGCAGAACGTGGGCCAGCGGCTCGACGATCCGTCGGCGATGGCTATGTGGTACTCCTGCTTTGGTACCGACTCGTCGGTCACCTGGCCGCGGTTCTTCAAGCTCTACTCGTCGTCGGTCCCGCCCGAGAGCGTGCCGACCCACTCGGGCTTTGAGGACCAGCTCAAGGCCTTTCTCATCAACGACAAGGGCTCGGTGACGCTTGACACCTTTGCCGGCTTTCTGCTCTGGTTTGGCCCGTACGAGGCCTCTTTGGGCCGTTGGGCGGCCATCACGTCGATGCCGGCGTTCAACGGGGGCATTTCACGTGAGCAAGCCGAGGAGCTGTTGCGCGGCAAGCCGCCGCTCGCATACCTCATCCGACTCTCGGACCCGGGCTTTTTCTCGGTCTCGTACAACTACCAGGCACCCGAGACCGGGACCGTCGAGCCGCAGCACTTTCGCATCGAGAATGTGGGTGAGGAGGGCTTCACCATCGAGACCGTGGAGGAGGAGCTGGTGACGCAAGTCTCGATTGCGGCAGTTGTCCAGTCGCAGAGCCACATCCTGGGCGAGCCGGTCTCGCAAATGCCGTTTTCCATGCCGTCGGAGGACGACTCGCTTGACTCGGCCTCATCAGACGTGCTTGGCTCGTCGCGGAGTTCGGCGAGCCGGCCAGCGTCGGGCGCAGGAGCCGGTGGAAGCGCTGGCGGAGCCGGCGACGACCGCGGCGACGATGGGCGCGCAGGCAAGGGCAAGGAGGTGAGTGAGGGCGAGGAGGCGCGTGAGCCGGTTGTTTTCACCTCGGTCGAGTTTGGCGAGGACGGCTGGGTCGACAAAATGGGCGTTATGGTCGGAGCGACCGACTCGGAGGAGGTCCGGATCCACGCCGGCAACCTGATGGTGTCGTGGGTGGAGGATCCGGGCAACAAGGCGGCTTTTGTGACCGGCGGCGGGTTGGCGCTGCTGCGGCAGCTTGCCGAGACGGCGCAGGGCAATGTGGAGATCGAGCGGCTGGCGGTGCGGGCGCTGTGCGCGCTGGCCGGCGAGAACGCCAACAAGGTGGCGATTGTGGAGCAGATGCTGCCGACGCTCTACCAGCACGCTGTCTCACCCGACGAGCAGGTCCAGCAGTACTCGGCGTTCATTTTTGCCAACCTTGTGCTCAACGACCCGCAGATCCAGCAGGTGCTCGTGGAGCAGGGCTGCTTGCCTGCGCTGGCGGCACTGACGGCGTCGGACTCGAGCTATGTGCAGGCTAACGTGGCGTGGGTGTTCGGCAACCTGGCACAGCACGAGGCGAACAAGAAGATCATCCTGCTCGGCGGACTGCAGGCCCTGTTCAAGCTCGCGCAGTCGGACAATGCCAAGGTCAAAAAGTACGCCTTTGACGCGCTCGGTTGCCTCGGGATCGTCGACGGCGACGACGTCGGCAAGCTCATTGCGCAGGTCAAGCAGTCGCTAGACCCCAAGCCGGTGTGGGAGATCAACTACTCGGACATCAAGGACATGGTGCTCGTCGACTCGGGCGGATACGGCAACGTCTACCTCGGCAAGTACCTGCACATGAAGGTGGCGGTGAAGCGGCTCAAAAAGTCGCAGCTCCGCGACCTCGAGGCGTTCAAGCTCGAGATCTCTATGATGTCCAAGCTCCGCCACCCCAACATTGTGCTGTTCCTTGGCGCCACCACCTCGCCCCTCACCATTGTCACCGAGTACATGGCGCGGAAGAGCATGTTCGATGTCATCCACGATCCGCACTGCTCGCTCGAGCCGCGGCGGGTCCTGCGGATGATCAAGGACTCTGCGCTAGGCATGAACTACCTGCACTCGCTCAACATCATTCACCGCGACTTCAAGTCGCTCAACCTCCTTGTCGACGAAGGCTACAACGTCAAGATCACCGACTTTGGCCTCTCGCGGGTTCTCTCCAAGGACTCGACCGCCACCCCGCACGGGACCTACGCCTGGCGCCCGCCGGAGATGTTCCGCTCGGAAAAGTACGACCACAAGGTCGACGTCTATTCGTTTGGCATTGTCCTCTGGGAGCTCATCACCCGCCGCATTCCCTTTGACTCGATGAGCTACGAAGCCATCAAGCGGGCGGTGCTCGAGGGCGTGCGGCCCGAGGTGCCGTCGACCAACGACCCCATCATCCACGAGATCATCGAGCTGATGAAGGCGTGCTGGCAAGCCGACCCGGTCATCCGCCCGGGCTTTGATGTCATCTGCGAAGGCCTGAACGAGCTCTCCAAGCTTGTCCGTGCCGCCCGTCGCGGGTGAGCTTGTTCGCCTCGAGCCGCCTCGAGCTGACTCTGAATGAACTGTCTGCCGAGAGCCAGGGGGGGGGGAGGTAGACTCGTCCCGTTTGCAGCAGCAGCACAGGCCGCAATGGATAGTCTGGAGACAGTACGTAGTGTGGGTAGGAGAGAGAGAGAGAGTGTGTGTGTGGGGTGTGGGGAGGAGGAGGTGGTGGTAGGGGAGGTAGAGAGGGAGAGGGAGCAGGCGAGGGAGGGGAAGGGAGGTGACGGATATCAGAGGGGAAGGGGAGGGGGCTGGGCAAGGGCAGGCGCTGGAGAGCAGGCGGTGCCTCCTCCCCCCCCC